ATACGAAATTTGATGTATGATTAATCTATGTGCATAAATTCAGAACAAGCGAACAAATGGGTGAAGAACATGGAGCGAGAGAACCATCTAAAGGTGATAAAGCTAACGGACTCAAACTACACGCGCGTGTTGGAAAACGCTATCCAACTAGGTCTTCCCGTGCTGCTAGAAAATATTCGCGAGCAGCTGGATGCGGTGCTCGAGCCCGTGCTGCTCCGAAACATATACAGGTGAGCACTGAGAGAGTGGCACGCAGGTGGCAAGAATTCTTTTGCGTATCTTACATTATACGGTTGCTGTATATACAATGTTACATTAGGTCTGGTGGCGTAGACTGCTTGAAGTTTGGTGACAACGTTTTGGAGTACAACTACGACTTTCGCTTTTACATCACCACACGCCTCAGCAATCCCCATTATTTACCGGAGATTGCCGTTAAAGTGAGTGCAGTACTAAACTCTTTCAGGCAATGATTACAATGTGCTATTTAAAAATATAAAACTCATCAGGTGACAGTATTGAACTTTATGATAACGCCGCAAGGGCTTGAGGACCAGCTGCTCGGAATCGTGGTAGCACAGGACCGGCCCGAGCTCGAACTGAAGAAGAACCAGCTCATTGTGGAGGGAGCCAACAACAAGAGGACTCTCAAAGAAATTGAGGATCAAATACTTGAGGTAAAACATAATTTCGTTTACACCTAGAGCGACAATAATTTTGTTACTTAACTACTCTATAACATCACAGGTGCTGTCATCAGCCGGAAACATTTTAGAAGATGAATCGGCAAACCAGATTCTATCATCGTCTAAGATCCTGTCGATCGAGATAGAGGCGAAACAGGCGGCGGCCGCGGTGACGGAGAAGGAGATCGACGAAGCGCGTCTGCTATACGTGCCCGTCTCCAAGCACAGCTCTGTCCTCTTCTTCTGCATCTCAGACCTCGCCAACATTGATCCCATGTACCAGTACTCGCTGAATTGGTGAGAAACACGGTGTATACAATCCTAATAAAAAAATCTTGAAACTATCGCTAATTTTATTAGTCGGTATAGGTTAGAATGATATTTATTTTTTTGGATTATAGAAAAAAATGCAGGTGCGTGTGCTTTTGTGTCTATTGCATATGAGTTTCTTGCAGGTTTATAAACTTGTACAATCAGGCGATCATTAACTCGCCGAAGAGCGACGACTTGTCAGAGCGGCTCGACGGCCTTAACAGCTACTTCACACGCAGCATCTACGAAAACGTCTGCCGCAGTCTGTTCGAAAAGGACAAGCTCATCTTCTCTCTCGTTTTGACCCTCGGTCTGCTTAGGCCTAAGGTTCGCTTCAATACTTTTTTCGGTATCCTACACGTTATTTAGACTATCTTTACTCACCCTCCAGTAACCCTATTCTTTTCATATTTATTCATTGTTCTTTTTCTATGTAAAGGGTTTGATTGACGACGAATTGGTGGCATTCCTTCTGACGGGTGGCGTGGCGCTAGAGAATCCATACGAGAATCCGGCACCCGCGTGGCTGTCAGAGAAGGCCTGGTCGGAAATCGTACGCAGTAGTAATCTCAGCGGGTACATCAACCTTTTTTAACACACATTTTTATATAAATAAAATCGCATTATGCGTATTCTCGATTTATAGAATTATATGTTACTTATAGTAATGTACATTTAACTATGTTGAAATTTTACAGGTTAGAAGGCTTCAGAGATAACTTTAAAGCAAACGTGAAGGCGTGGAAAGATTTTTATGACCTATCGACTCCGCAAGACAGCGAGTTACCGCCGCCGTACCAGAATATTAAAGGCATCCCGAAGCTAATCATGTTTAGGTCAGTTTGAGAAATAAAAAGCAAAAATATTTTTTCAGTAAGGCTTAAGGTAATGCTTGTTAATCATTTGAGCAAACTGTCAATTCCTAGATGCATCCGTCCGGACAAGCTGATCCCGCTGGTACAGCAGTACGTGTCGGACTCGCTAGGCCACAACTACATCGAGCCGCCGCCCTTTGACCTGCAGCGCTCCTACGACGATAGCAACTGCTGCTCGCCACTCATCTTTATTCTCTCGCCCGGCTCCGATCCCATGTCCGGCCTTGTCAAGTTTTCCATGGAGAAAAAGGTCGTCAGTTTCGAGACAATCTCACTGGGCCAGGGACAGGTCAGAACATATTTGTTGGTTTGATTTATTCGCCCTGTTTATCAATCAAATGTTATTTAATTTTGTTCTATATGTGTGCCAGGGTCCGATAGCAGCAAACATGATCAGCCAGGCCATAGTTACTGGCGGCTGGGTGGTGCTACAGAACTGCCACGTGATGGATTCCTGGATGGGTGAGCTGGAGCGCATCTGCGCAGAGGTGATCACACCGCAAGTCACGCATTCAGAGTTCAGGTGCTGGTTAACCTCGTACCCGAGCAAAGCCTTCCCCGTCACCGTCCTGCAGAACGGTTAGTTAATTTGACGTAGGAAGAAGTGAAATTATTCATGGTTTAGCAGTCAAATGACCTACTAATTTTTTCGGAAGGTGTCAAGATGACAAATGAGGCGCCAAAGGGTTTGAAGAACAACATGTACCGATCGTACACGTCGGATCCCATCAGCGACCCGGAGTTCTACATCTCGTGTCCACGCACGGAGGAGTGGCGACGACTGCTGTTTGCTCTCTGCTTCTTCCACGCATTGGTGCAGGAGCGTCGCGCCTTCGGCCCGCTCGGCTGGAACATACCTTATGAGTTCAACGAGAGCGACCTCAGGATCTGCGTCATGCAGTTGCAGGTTAGACGTTACTGTCAGTCGAGTTATTAATAAAAGTGTTGCGCTAGAAATTCGCATATCTTCCGCTACCTTTATTTCCCGTCTTGTGCCAAAAAAGTCAGTTAAAGGTTGAACCTACAGATGTTCTTGTCGGAATATGCGGAGACGCCGTTCGACGCGCTAAACTACCTGGCGGGCGAGTGCAACTACGGCGGCCGAGTC